AGTTTCCCCCATTATTTTCCGTTTAATAAATCTCAACTCGTTAATTAAAGAAGGTTAAAAAACTCCCAATTAACGTCATCCATCACATCCTTAATTTCTCTTTCTTCTATAATCACGTAATCCTCAATGAGCCACGAATTAATCAAGAGCGCGATCAATTTTCCTCATTATGAGAGCGAAAATAATTGTCGTGTCGGATTTGAATTTATGTCATCTGAAATTAAATCCTAATTAGCATTTGAACGCCAAGCAAAACGAGAAATAAACTTGCGACTGAATAAAACGGATAAAATATTGAAAAAAAAATTGGAATTAACAAGATAATTCATTATATCCAAACAAGATAATTCATTATATAAATTCTCTTTTTTTTACAATCAAGGAATCCCCGATGATCAAAAGAGTAATCGATTTTCTTTATTATGAGAGCGAAAATACTGTTTAATGCTAATTAGAGCTGAACATGTGCTACAAGCGAAAATAAAAAGAAATATTCATATCCGTGTCCTCATATTCGTTTTAAAATATAAAATAATTGTATAGTGGTCAGGGTCAGAGTAGATTTCAAGTGAAATCAATTCCTAATTAGCATTCATAAGGGTCGAGTAAAAAACAAATGAATAAATAAAATACACTATAATTTCCTCAAAAAAATTCCGAATTGACAACATTCTGGACTGCATACCATAATTCTCTAATTTTCAATCAAATAATCCGCAATAATCAAGAGAGCATTCAATCAATCAATTTTCTTTATGAGATTGAAATAAAATTCTAATTAAAACTAAATAAAAAAAAAAATGATATGCAAGGATAAAATAAAAATAATATCCTCTGCATTACGTCTAGTCTCGTTTTAAATAAACAATAAATAGCTGAAATAAATTAGTCGTCATCAGGGTCAAAACATATTTCAGGTGGAATGACTTTCCAGGTGCAATGACTTTAACAATTGACAATTGACAATTGAATAAAGAAAAAATAAGGAAAAAGCTAAGAAAAAATAAATAAAAAAAAGGACTCACGATTGAGAATAGACCGAAGGAAATCAGCATTCATATGATTCCAACGCGTTTGGTCATCATAATGCTGATGACTGTAGTTTTAAACTCTCCTTGAAGGTCAGTACGTTTTATTTTCCTCCACGTTGTCTCGACGCAATGGCATTGGTATGCGCTACACAGTGAACCCCACTTTTACCTCAATCACTCAAAAAAAAAAAAAACTAATAATGACAATAATACTCTCAATAATCGAACGACAATCAACGTGAAAAATTGATAATCCACTGGTTATTTATATCCATGAAAAAAAAAAAACACTCCGCGTCCGGATGTAGCGGAGAGCCTCAGCCTTGCTCTTTCCTCCTGCATTCGTCCTGACTGCCGAGTGTGAACACCTCTCCAGTCTCTACCTCTCTTTTACCTCTCCCACTACATTTTCAGAGTTATTTTTTTTTTCTCTTATTTTTTAGTACAGGAAGACATTCACCTCTCGAGGCTCGACTAGACGCCGCTTTTCAGCTCCTCCGGACGCCCCCACCACATGCTCAGGTGGTGGTACAGGAATTATAGGCGTTCTCCAGTGAGTTTCAGTCGTTTCAGTCGATGCACTGACAGTCGTTTCAACGTATTCCTTGGATTTTTTTATTTTCACATTTTTATTAATGATTTTATGCGTTTTTTGGAGGGGCTATTCGTGAAGGAAGGAGATCAGGTGAATTTTCAGAGTTTGATTGGGTTTATGGTGGATGTATGGGGGATTCTGTGGACGTGAGTCATTTTGTGAACGACTTCGCTGAGTTCATTGGAACTGGATAATCATACGTGGATTTTTCAATAATAAACCGATACTTTTACTGATTATTTAATCTTTTCAGGGACGTGTCAGTCGTGGCACTGGCAGCTAGTGCTACGTATTTCTCACATTTTTCAATTATTCTTTTCGATCGTGAAGTAAGGAGTTCAGGTGATTTTTTATAACTCAACAAATTATTCCTCCCTTTTTTATTCATATTTGTTTGTTTATTTCATTTTAATTATGAGGTGCAATAATTCTTTGAAAAAATTTAAATTTTTAAATTCTTCACTTTTTATATTAATAACTTGAAGGAGTAAAAATATGATACGTTCCCGGATTCTAGAATTCTTCTTGAATTCAAACTATCAGATTTGGTAAATCGCTGAATAATTTCAAGTGTAAAGTTTCAGGGCTATCACATTTTTTCAGTCTACAAGAGACCACTGAGATAACATACAATCATATTATTTATGCTAAAGAACATCGTATCGTGCAATTTTCTTGCCTGATATGCAGCAGGTGCTTTACGACACTGAATGTTGCGCTCTGACTGGTGAAAATTCAATGCTAAAAACAATCTTTATGAATTCTGATAAACATCACCCTGGCAATATTTTTAAACTCATTTCCACTGCGTTTTTAAAATATTCCAGGGAATTTGGGAATTGAAAATGTGTGACTTATATAATTTGCAGGATATAGGATATTCTTGAATGAGTTAACCGAAGGGAATTCAAGATGACAGTACCAGAGTGCACGTTAGACATTTCTAATGTCTCACACTCGACGTCTGTTATCATGGAAGGTGGAGGATGTGTGGGAAAACCCACTGCTGTCCTGAGGGATGTATCAGCGAGGGTTCATGGAGGTGAAGTCCTGGCAGTCCTTGGATCCAAGGGATCTGGCAAGAGAGCCCTTCTAGACGTCATTGGTAACCCTTAAAATCCTTCACGATAAAATGACGTTGATAATATAATTGACTCTATTCTGAAATTTTCATTGTAAATTCCTCCAATCTTTTTCATCATCGCGCGATTATTTCAAATTTTTCCCGAATTGTTACTCGATTTTTCAGCTGGAAGAGCAGTAGGTGAGATCCGAGGACGAATTACCCTCGCAGGATCGACCCTGAACGCTGATTTATT